GTTGTGGCCCTTCCCGGCACTGGGACAACCAAGGACCCGCTTTTCCTCAGACTCCAGCCGGCAGGTTGTGCCACAGAGCCAGAACGGCCTTCGGACACTGCCCGGCTGGTCTGGTTAATGTTTAACGAGGAAACAACCCGGTTCTGTGTTAAATTCAGCCTTTCCTGCCACTCGATGGGAAACTATTTCTTTTTATCCGTGCCGGGGGGATGTGAACAGCTCTGCCTGCCCTCAGGCATCGGAAGGAGCAAGGGGGTCTCCCCACAAATCCCAGGGGCTGCTTCAGTCCTGGGGTTTTTGATTGTTCCTACTGGAGGCTCCCCCACCCCCAGGAGTGTTTCTCTAATTGCCCTCCTCAGCAAATGTTAATTGCTTTGGGTCCATTAACCCTCTTGGGTGCAGGGACTATACAGGATTTATGGCAAAACGGGGGAGTAAGGGAAGGGAATTTTCCTTTTCTGTGTTAGTTTGGGGGTTTGGTACTGCCTGTGTCACAAGGAGACAGCAGTGACTGTGCTGTCCTCAGTGGGGGGACAGGCTCCCACCCCCTCACCCAACCTCCATCACGGCATGTCCACCCCAGGGAGCACAACCCCGTCACCCCCAGGGAATGATCCGAGACAAACACACTTTTCATCCTATTTTATTGCTTTACATTCTGTTTTCCATCCCAGCTCAAGCCAAGCACAGCCATCAGCCATGGTGTTCTCACCTCCCCATCCTCATGTCCTGGTGTCACAAACCCTTTTTTGGGGGGATCACAGAATTCCCCATGTTCACACACCCCCCATATGAGTTCTCCAACAGACTCCCCTGCTCCATCGGAGCCGTGTGGCAGCATCACAGGAATTCTGCAGCTGCTGAGAACCCTTAAACCATCTTATTTTTGTTTCCCCCACGTTTTTATCAGCAAGGCAAGAGACCACAGGCTCAGCAACCATGACACAAACCCTGAGAGTCCAAATCTTAAACAGAAGAGCTGCATCTCCCACCGAGCACCTCACCCTTTGCCTCCAGAGCACAACATGATGCACGTGATCAGCTGCACAATCACCTTTTCAGACCCAGATCTGTCAAAGCACCCGCTCCCTCAAGCTCCCTCCCCTTCCCCAAAATCCACCTCCCAAAGCAGCAAGGCGACAAGAACCCCTTTGCAAGAGACAGCTTTAAGTGCCAAGAAACTTCCCCCCCTCCCAAGAACCACAAACAAATTAACTGTTGTACAAGGGAACCACCCTGCTGATGCCCTGCCTGCAGATGGGGCACTTTTTGGGTTCGGGGAGAGCCTGGTAGCACTCGTGACAGGAGCAGACGTGGCCACACTCCAGGAAGACGCAGGATTTGGTGCTGCTCAGGCAGACCACGCAGGCATTTTTGAGGGTGTCCCCGCCCTCGGCGTTCATCAGGCGCTCCTGGGCCTGCCGGAATTCCTCCTGCATCTGCTTGAGGTGCTGCCTCTCCCGGTGGTGCCGGTACTGCTTCCGCAGGAGGAAGAAGAGGACGGCGCAGGTGGCGGCACCGAAAACCACGGTCAGGATTTTCCAGAAGCGGGCACTGGACTCCTGTTTCTGCAGCAGGGAGTCGAAATCCACGGCGCTCAGGTAGTAGGGCATGCCCTGCTTCGGGGGCTGCAGCTTGATGGTGGCGTTGTCCAGCACCAGCTCTCCCACCCCGGTCAGCGCCGTGCCCACCTTGAGCATCTGCTCCGTCTCCTGGATGCCCTTGGGGCGCTCCCCGCTGATGTAGTGGCCGATGACGTCGGTGAAGGACTGGACAGAGGGGTGGAATTTCTCATACACCGTCTCCAGGCTGAGCTCGGCCGCCTCCAGAGGCTTCACCACCCGCACGGTGACGCCAGCGCCGTCCTCGGCGGGCACCAGCTCGAAGGGGGTGGTGTTGGTTCTCTGGTGGATGATCTTCTCGTAGTCATTCCTTAGGAAGAAGGGGGGAAAGTGAACCTGCTTCCCCTCACCCCAAGGGACGGCTGGGTTTTGGGGACTGACAGCTGGGGACTGACTCCGCCTTAAGCAGAGTTTATTTGATGGGGCACCTTCCCCCTCGTGGCACTGTCCAGCCGTGCACAAGGCCCTTCCACCCTCACAGAGCTCCCACAAGTAGTGTGGGCTCCCACCATCACTGGGGGAGGGTTGTGTCCCACCTAATCCCCTCCCTGTGGCTGTCACAAACCACCCTGTGAGGAGAAGCACCACCTGCCACACGCCCCAGTTTGATAGATGTTATCAAGTGGCTCATCAAAGGGCATCACCAAGCTCTTGTTTCAGCAGCTCTGGTGGGCCAGGTAGCTCTGGGACCCTCCTCAGGTCCCCTGGGTGCAGGTTCACCCAAATCCAACTGATTTCTGCTCTGAAAGTGGGGTTTTTTGGGAAATACCATCCTCCATAACAAGATAGGGCTGATCAATGCTCTGCCCACGTTGGGTTACTCAGTGTGCTCTTAAGACCCTCCATGAGCTCTGAAAGCCCTAAAAATTAGCCAAACATGCCCTGTTTTGGCAGCTGTCACTGGGGGGGCCACTGTGGGGTCCAGCTCTGAGGCACCTGGTCACTCTGGCCACACCTGAGTATGTCAGACTGGCCACACCATTACAGGGTGTCAGACCCCCAGAGGGCACCTCAGGTGGACTGGGAGGAGACCATTTGTGGGCACCAGGCACGTACCAGAGGTGGGTGGTTCTGTTCCACACCATCTTGTGCTCCTGCAGCGTCAGCCTCTGAACCACCCCCTTGCAGTTCTCCACAAACTGGCTGCTCAGGGTCTCCTTCACCGACCTCACCACACCTGGAAGGGAAATCCCAGGGGCAAGTGAGTGGCTTGTTAAAACAAAAAAAAAAAAGAGGGACTTTGGAAAAGGGCCTGGAGCGACAAGACACAGGGAATGGCTTCCCACTGCCAGAGGGCATTGTTAGATGGGATAGTGGGAAGGAATCCTTCCCTGAGAGGGTGGAGAAGCTCTGGCATAGGCTGCCCAGGGAAGCTGTGGCTGCCCCATCCCTGCAAGTGTCCAAGGCCAGGTTGGAGCAACCTGGGCTGGTGGAAGGTGTCTCTGCCCATGGCAAGGGGTAGAACTGGATGAGCTTTAAGGTCCCTTCCAACCCAAACCATTCCACGATTGTCAGATGGAGCAGAAGGGCTGAGAGCCCGTGTTTTGCCTGACAGGAGTCAGTGGCTGCTTGTCGGGAGAAAGATGAACTCATGGGCACAGAACGAGGGGCTAGGAATGAAATCCCCAAAGCGAGGAGCAGCTGCGGGGGGGGGGGAAGGGGGGCACTGTGCCCCCACCCCTTATTTGGGGCTCCGCTTCAGGCCCTGCCCCTACCTTCTATAACCGCATAGGGCACACAGCGCCCGGGAGCCTCCAGCAGCACCGACCGCAGATCTCCGTCCAGCTGGACCCTCCTGGCGCCCTGCGGGGAGCAAACAGAGGCCGCGGCTCAGCCGGCGCGACCAGGCCGCGGCCTACGGGCCGGGCCCGTGCGCTCCCCCGCCGCACCCCTCGCACCCACCTCGAGCCCGCGGGCCACGCGGGCCTTCTGCCGGTACACGGAGTAGAGCAGGGCGGTGATGGCGGTGCTGGCGGCCAACAGCGCGGCCTGTGCGGCCGAGGGCCGCCCGCTGCCCTCCATAGCCTCCGGGCCCCGCGTTACCACGGCAACCACCGGCGCGCGGTGATGACGTCAGGAGCGGCGCTCTAGCAGCGGCGGCGCTGCCATAGAGACGCGCGGTCCGCCAAGGCCGGGCGGGGGGCGCGGGGACCCCCCAAAGCTTTGTTGGGGGGCCGGGGGAGCACAAAATACCCACACACACAGGGTATATGTGGGGGAGGCGGTCAGATCCTGGCCCCATGCGGCTTTAGGGGGCTAAACCCCAGCCTTAGGGATTCGTGGGGTCGGGATGGGTCCCACCCCCCCACCCCAGCGTTTTTGGGGGAGACATCAAGGTCCAGCGCACAAGATCCTAAAAAGGGATTATTTCAAATCACACCCATCTTTTAGGATCTTGATAGCTGGACCCAAATCCTGACACCCCCAGGGTGCTGGGGGGAGCATCCCTAGTGCCCCCCCGTCCTTCCCCATCCCACCCCAGGGGTCTTGGGGGGACATCAATCCCCAGTCCCACAATCCTAAGGGGGGGATTAGCCCAAGAACCAGTCATCCCTTAGGATTTTGGTAGCTGGCTCCAAATCCCGACACCCCCAGGGTGCTGAGGGGACCACCCTCACCGTGCTTGGTTGATGAGGGGCAGCCCAAATCCCACCACCCTACAAAACTTGGGGGCAGGCCAGACCAAAGTGTGTCCCCCCTGGGCTGTGAGGGGGGTATGCCCCCAAATTCCAGCCCTATAGCACCTTGAGGGGGGGGTTATGCCCCATCACTGGGCTGTGGGGCACCAGCACCCCGTGAACACCCCCAGAGCAAGGGCTCAGCCTCGGGACGCACCCCCAGCCCCATTTTGCAAGGTCCTTCTCCCCATCCCATGCAGGGCCACGTAAGGGTGGCAGGTCCCTGCCAGCCTTGTTGGGGGGGGCACACAAGACCCTTCCCTGCCCCACCTATCTCCTTGCCATTGCTTATTCTGAGAAAGCAGTAAAAGGGGAAGAAAAATAAAAAAAATAGTAATTTTCGGTAAATTGTTAGTCTTCAGAGCCTTGGTGCTGATTTTGGGGTGGGCATGAGGGGGCTGCAGGCAAGGCCACACTCTCCAGTGGGGGTCCAAGGGGCCAAACCCCCCTTCCAGCTGCCTGACGCAGGCGGCACAGCCGCCCCCCCAGCTCTATATTTAAAAAATCGAGTTGCCATGGCTACGCAGAGCAGCTCTCCCCAGCCCTCGGTTCCGCAGGGAGGGTGCAGAAAGCCCCTCCTCGGCTTCCTTTTCAGGGGGTAAATTCAATATAAACCCCCCAAAATCGGCTTGGTGCCGAGCTTAACTCTTCCTCTGCTGTTCTCCAGCGTCCGGGCGAGACACAGGCGCCATCACACCGCAGAAAACACACATTAATTTTATTATTATTGTAATTATTATTATTATGGCCACTGCAGAGGAGGAGGCACGAGAGCAGGTTCATGTGCGGGGCTGAAGGGGTGCAAACCCACACCCGCCCCGCAGCGCGTCTTCCTTGTAAGGGAGCCGCCGTCTTGTCCGGATTCGCCCCCGAGGAGCGTCCCAACACCGGCTTGGGGGCGCGGGGATGGCACCCGACCCCTGAACGGGGGGTCTCAGCACAGCGGGTGCCGTGGGCCGCGCAGGCTGCACCCCCTCATGTCGCTGGCCAGCCGCAGCACGGCGGCTCTGCCGGGGTCCCCCAGAGGCGCCCCGGGGCCGAAGGCCTCGTCCTCGTCCTCCTCCAGGATGGAGCTGAGGCGCGGGGCGCAGCGGGCCCGCTCGGCGGGCGGGCGGTAGGGACACTTGGTGTTGAGCAGCCGCCGCAGGGGCACCAAGGGCACGATGGCGTCGCCCAGGAGCTGCTGCTGGACGTGGCGGAAATCGCTCTGCCTCTTGAGCCGCTTGAACTCGTTGAAGGCCGAGGCCGAGGTCTGGTAGAGCAGCAGGGCCATGGCGCGCGCCTTGTCGGCCTTGGAGACCAGCACGGCGTGGCAGCGCAGCACCACGGCCTTGTTCTTCACCTGGTGCCGGTACACCCAGGCGAACACCTTGGGGTGCCGGCGGTCGGCGGCGCAGTAGGTGATGCGGTGCAGCAGGTACGCGTGGCCCGGCCGCCGCGCCCCCTTCTCGCTCGGCGTCATCCGGATGCCTTGCGGCCCCAGCGTCAGCTTCATCTTGGCCCCGCCGGCGCCCGCCTCGCTCTTCGCCCAGATCTTGCCCACCGCCTCCTCGGTGCAGCCCTCGCCCTTGGCGTGCAGGGTCACGGCGTTGCCCAGGTACCGCACCGTGTATGTCGGGTCCTCCTTGTTGAGCTCCACTTTCTGGCGCTTCCCGCGGAAGACGCTGCCCAGCCGCTCCAAGGGACACTCGGGCAGAAGGTCCGGGCAGGAGCGCAGGAACCCGGCCAGCAGCGCCGCGTAGCTCAGCCCCGGCCCCAGGCTCTTGCCTTTGCACTTACGTTCATTTTCCACCAGCACGAACTTGCTCCGGCGCCACGGCAGCATCTCCGCTCCGGCCTCTCACGGCTCCGCTAATCCCGGATCAGAAACAGCCCCCCCGCCCCCCGCCACCCCAACCCGCAAAATCTGAATGGGGGGTGTCCCCACACGCACACCCCGCCCAGAGGGTGAAGCCCCTACCCCGGGATGCAGCTGCCGTGTCTCCCCGATGCCGTGCGGTCCAGGGAGGATGCGGGGATGCTCGGCCGAGGAGCCGCCGCGCTCCGGCTGCCGCCTGCGCCTGATGCTGCTGCGGGAGCGGCTCTCCGTGGGCTGCTCCACCTCCCCGAGCACGCGGGGAGCCGCCGGTGAACGTCCCCCACCGGCTCCTTGGATGCGCGCTCGCTCCCTGCTCCGGCAGGGATACAGAGGTGGGGGTGAAATAACACCCTCTCTTCATGCAGCAGCCAGACCCTCCTAAATGCCAAAATTCCCTGATTTCTAATCCCGGAGAGGACGATTTTAGGGAGGGTCAGATGATGGTTTCTGACCCTGGCATGAGAAAATGGATTTTTTCCCCCCCAGATCTGTTGCCGGGATTTGAGGATCCTGCAGGTTTGCTGGCATTTTTTTTCCCTCCAAACCACCTCCCCTCCGCTTTTTGCCTGGTTTTCCCAAGCCAGCCAGACTTTCTTGCTGCTCCTCTTCCTTTTGGACTGAGCTGGCTTTTAACCTGTTGCTTTTATCTCTGGCCAAGGCCCCAGGACAACTTCCCTCCAGGGAACACGAAGTGTTATTTCCCCCCCTGAGGGAGATCTTTGGGGATCGCTGTGATATTTCAGTCCTGCATCAGAATCTGAAGCTGCTCAGGATTCAGCTGCTTTGGCTCAAACCCTGATTTCCACCTTTTTTTTTTGCTATCTGGGGCTTCTTACAGATGCAGCAGGGAGACCCCCCAGGCTTGGGGATGCTCCAGCTGCTTTGAGATGGAAAAATAGCGAGGAGAAAGGAGGAGAAATTACACTGGGTACCCCCACTTTTAGCCCATTTGGGGAGGTAAACCAGAGCAGGGTGTTGCAGGGAGCAGGAAGCCATTTCCCAGCAGCTTCCCAGATTTTCTACGGTTTGAGTGAAGCAAACACAACCTTAAAATAGCTGCTTTGCAGGCAGACAGCACCAGCCCTGCTCTTCTCACTGCCACGGCCTCGACAGCCTCGGAGGTTTTCACAGCCAAAATAATAAAAAATGCATGAATTTGTCTGTTTTTCAGCTTTTCTGCTGCAAACATGCGGGGTGTGGTTTGATCCCGGTGCAAGGATGGTTTTGGGAGGGTGGCAGTTAGGGAATTAGTGCAAATTAGGAAGGTTTCCATCCATGCCAGCCTCTGTCCCTCATTACTTCTGCTGTCACCCTCACTGACAGAGGTAAGGACTCTTTAATTGCTCGGTGTTCATATTGACAGGGCAAGTTTAAACCCTTCCCAAAAGCTCTTTTATTTGTACATCCCACATTATTTAGTGAGGGGTCCCCCTGCTCTGATCTGCTCCCACAGTGTCTCCCCTCAGCTGCTCTGGGACTGGTTTTCCCTTTTTCTCCCTGTTTTTGGGGTAATGGGGATTGGAGTGGGGGCACAGGAGAATCTGTGGCTCATTTTATAGGGGAAAACAACCTGGATTTGCACTTTGAAAGCTGAGAAAAAGGATTCAGGGCTGTCAATCCCTCCTCTCACTGCCTGTTGCCTTGACTGACTGCCCTTGCAAGTACCCGGCTGTCATCATTACGTTCCAGAGTGAACAAGCACCCACACAGTGTGAGGAAAGTGGGTTTCCTGGTTATTCTCTGGACAATACGGATCCCAGCTTTGGTTTCTTGGGGTGCCTGTGGTGGTCTCACTGCCCCATGCTCCCTTTTCAGCTCCCAGAGTTTCTGTGCCAACAGAAGCCACTGCCAATTTGGATGCCGCTTCTCAGCAGTGACCCAGGACCAAGATTTGCTGGCATAACCTGCAGGTAAGGTCAAAATCCTCCCAAAATCCAGCAAACCGGACAAAAATCCCAGTGATACATCCCTGGGGGCTGTGACACCCGGCCTTGCAGATAGAAAGTGGGGCAGGAAGCTCCTCAGGCCAGGGGGAAAATAGAGAAATCTTTAATTAAAAAGCAATTTGCTGATCACCCAGGAGCCCTTTTACCCTGCCAGGGGCGATTCCCATGGAAGCACCAGCAGATCTGAATTTGGGCTCCAGCATAAGGGCATCCCAAAAGGGACTTTCACCACCTGTGTCTTCAGCCAGATTTCCCTGCTGCCTGTAGTTAAAAGTCCTGGGGAAATGTGATATATATAGATATTATTTTTAATTCTTTCAATCAAATTAATTTATTTCTTTTGATCTCAATGATCAGGAGCTGTTGTTCCTGCCCCCCAGGAATGACTTAATGACATTTTCCTCTGGAGTCACAGAACCAGTTTTGAACTGGGAAGGGAAAAAACCTGCGAGACAGCAGCGGAAAAATGCTCTGCCGGGACAGGGAAAGGAGGAAATAGAAAACAAAACCCAGGATAAATTGGAAAAAATGAGACAGCAGGCAGGGAGGGGATGTGGGACTCCCCGAGAGTGATGCTTTGGGGGCCAGGGCTGTCCCTAGGGATGCTTCCTGGGGTTTGGCTGTGCGCCGGGGCGTTATCCCGGAGTCCCGGCCAGCCTATTTTCCAGGCAAGGAAATATTTAACTGCGGCGTCAGCGGGCAGGGCAGGCGGGTGCAGGCATGGAGGGCGGCCGGCAGTGCCCAGCCCCCGCTGTGCCCCCGGGCCAGCCCCAGGGTGACCGTCTCCAGCTCCTGCTGCGCCGCAGCCGGGAGGCCAAAAACTGTGCCTACTGCCCCTACAGCCGCTTCCCGGTGGGAGCTGCGCTGCTCACGGCTGGTGGGGAGATCTTCTCCGGTAAGTCGTGGCCCTAAGACCCCCCACCCTGGGATTTTTGGGAGCCCCCAGCGACCTTTTGGAAGCGCACGGGGGGTGTAGCGGGGTCATCCCGGGGTGTTGGTGCTGTGTGTCCTTCCCCCGCTGCCTCTTGGCAGCCGCCAGCCCGGAGCGAGCCAGAGATCGCGGTGGATGGGGAAGTGCTGAAATAAATGAGGGAAGCAGGGAAACTGTCTTTTCTTTGCAAATTCCCCTAAAAAAAAACAAAAAAAAAAATTGGAAAAAACTTCCCCGGTGGGGTTTGGGGTGGCTGGTGCCGGGGGTTTTCCCCACAGGGTGCAACGTGGAGAATGCCTGCTACAGCCTGGGGATGTGTGCTGAGCGAGCTGCCATCCAAAAAGCCATCTCGGAGGGGCACACCAGCTTCAAAGCCATGGCCATTGCCAGGTAAGGGTGCTCCGAGAGCTGGGACAGGGAAGGACGGGATGGGGGGATAGCAGGAAAACCTCCAGTGCACCCCGTGGGCAGATTCTGCTGCAGCAGCCCCAGCGTTTGGGGCGGAAAGAAAGTTTTTGCTTGTTTTTTTTGGAGGAATTAGGGGGGAAATCTGCTGTAGCTCCGTATTTATCGGTGCATGAAGGTCTTCTGCAGGTGTTCCCCCCTCCTCTGACTTTGGGACTGAGCTCTGTGCCCTTCTCCTTTGGCAGTGACATGGGCGACTTCATCACACCCTGCGGCGCCTGCAGACAAGTGATGAGAGAGGTGATGGCTCTTGTGGGGGCTTTGTGTCTCACCTCCTGACCCCAGACACCACCCCCTGACCCCAGACAAGATCCCTTGACCCCAGACATCATTCCCTGGCCCCAGGCATCTCCCCCTAAAACACCCAGAGGTGCCAAGGGGGGTGCAACCCCCTATCCCCAGCCCCAGGGTGGCTCCAGGCTCCTCAAATTGCATTATCCGGTGGGAAAGGGATATTCCTCCCTGTTCCATGTGAGTGGGTGCTTGGTGGGAATCCAGTAGCTCGCCCTTCCCAGAGGGTTTTGTTCCTCCAGGTGCAGAGTTTGGCCCTGGAGTCGTTGCTCCACCTCTGGCAAGCCTGAAAACAGGGGTTTTCCGGGAAAAGCTGAGATTCTCACAGATCCCATCCCTCTCTCACTTCCCTCCTCCCTGCAGGCACCCCAGCACCCACAGCCTGGTTTTGGGTGGTTAATATTTAATGGTTGTGGGGCTTGGCTCGAGGGCGGGATTCAGGAAGTTTGGAGGCACCGGGGCTCACCCTGGGGGGTAAAAACACAGGATCTGAGCCCAAAATATCCTCTAAGGGGGTGATGCTGACAAGCCAACCCAAAATCCATGCAATAGAGGGAGATGCTCCCTCTGAACCTAGAAATAAAGGATTATAGGAGTAATTTGGGGAAGAAGTGCAGGTTCTTCTCCCTTCTCCTTCTTCTCCCTCATCAGGCTCTTCTCCCCACTCTTCTCCTCCAGTTTGGCACGGATTGGGATGTCTACCTGACCAAAGCAGATGGCACCTACATTGTCAAGAGGCTGGAGGAGCTGCTGCCGCTCTCCTTTGGCCCTGAGGACCTGAAGAAGGTGTGACCACCATGGCCACCACCATCCTTTGCCCCTGGGGCAGCAGAGGAGGATGGTTTTCCTCAATTTCCTCGGTGTGTAAGCGGCTTTTTGGGGAAGGCACAGTTGGAAATGTATTTGTGGTGCTGAGTTACCTGTTCCTTTCATCTTCTGATTCAGTGTTGATTCACAGACACTGGCTCCACCTCCCCCTGAGGAAACAACAGAATCAAATCATAGAAATTCCCTGTTATTAGTAAAAAAATGTCCAGATATCCCTGTAGCCAAGAAAGGAGTTGAGTTTGATGCATGGCTCAAGTTTGGGCTTGTTGATACAGAAACAACTCCTAAATAATGCAAAATCATTGCTTGGGAAAATTCTGGATTCTTCAGCTCTGAAGAGAGGTGAAAGCCAAAAGGAAAAGTTCCATCAGCCCCAGCAGTAATTAATGAGCCAGTCCAGATTAGGTGGATTGCTGGAATAGGATGGTTATTGCACTGAGCTTGTCCTTTGCTCGTTTCTCTCCAGCTTGTTTTCCTTGCTTTTGTTCCATTTATGAGGGAGAAGAGAATGAAGAATTTTTGATTGCTTCTGCAGGGTTTTGTGCCTCCAGAGTAGTGCCATTTGCTGACTGTACTATTGATTTAATTATGCACAATGACAAATGAATGTGTGATATTTCCCAACCAGTGCTGGGTTGGGCATTTCGGCCCATGCCCAAGTCAAATAAAAGCTGTTCTGGTTTATATCCTGCAGTAGCAAGTGATGGAACACTGGGATTGGGGTCCCTGGGCTGTCCTGCTGCCAGGCAGGGCCAGGGGGTGGTGGATGTGACATGGGAACATCATGAGGTTCAACCTTAGAGCCCCTTCATGTGCCTTAAGGGGGACTTATAATAAAGATATAATAAAGATGAGGGCAGACTTTTTAGCAGGTCTTTTAAAGGGACAGTGGTTTTAAACTAAAAGAGGGTTGATTTAGATGTAAGGAAGAAGCTTTTTACAATGAGGGTGGGGAGGCCCTAGCACAAGTTGCCCAGAGAAGCTGTGGCTGCCTCATCCCTGGAAGTGTCCAAGGCCAGGTTGGACAGGGCCTGGAGCAACCTGGGCTAGTGGAAGGTGTCCCTGCCCATGGCTGGGGGTGGGATAAGATGGGCTTTAAGGTCCCTCCCAACCCAAACCGTTCCATGATCCTGTGATTCTGTGCTGTGCCCAGATCAGTGCTGTGCCCTGCTCCATGCCCTGCCAAGCACAAGGCACACCCAGCTGTGCCCTGCTCCGTGCCCTGCATTGCACAGGGCTGTACCTTGGCTGCACTCTGCTCCGTGTCCTGCTCCCTGCCCTGCTCTGTGTCCTGCTCCATGTCCTGCTCCCTGCCCTGCTCCCTGCCCTGCTCCCTGCCCTGCTCCATGTCCTGCTCCATGTCCTGCTCCCTGCCCTGCCCCATACTCCACTTCATGCCCCATTCCATGCCCCACTCAATGTCCCACTTCATGCCCTCCCATTCCATACCCTATTCCATGCCCCACTCCATACCCCATTCCCTGCCCCATTCCCTGTCCCATTCCATGCCCCATCCCATACCCTATTCCATGCCCCACTCCATCCCACATTCCCTGCCCCATTCCCTGTCCCATTCCATGTCCCATTCCTTGCCCTATTCCATGCCCTATTCTGTGCCTCATTCCCTGCCCCAGTCCCTGTCTCATTCCATACCCCATTCCATGCCCCATTCCCTGGCCCACTCTATGCCCCACTCCATACCCCATTCTCTGTCCCACTCCATGCCCCACTCCATACCCCATTCCATACCCCACTCCATACCCCATTCCATACCCCACTCCATGCCCCATTCCATACCCTAACTCCATACGCCATTCCATACTCCACTCCATGCCCCACTCCATACCCCATTCCCTGTCCCACTCCATACCCTATTGCCTGTCCCACTCCATGCCCCATTCCCTGTCCCATTCCCTGTCCCGTTCCCTTCCCCACTCCAAGCCCCATTCCCTGTCCCACTCCATGTCCCATTCCTTGCCCTATTCCATGCCCTATTCTATGCCTCATTCTCCGCCCCAGTCCCTATCCCATTCCATACCCCATTCCATACCTCACTCCATGCCTCATTCCACGTCCCATTCCCTGCCCCATTCCCTTCCCCTCTCCTTGCCCCATTCCCTTCCCCTCTCCATTCCCCATTCCCTTCCCTTCTTCATTCCCCATCCCATTCCCCATTCCCCGTTCCGTTCCATACCCCATTCCCTTTCCCCCCATCCCCGTCCCGTGCCCTCTGTGGGCGTGGCCTCGCACTGACAGTGGGCGTGGTCTCAGGGCGTGTCCTCCCTCCCCATTGGCCCCGCTCCCCCCTGTCCCCGCCCCCCGGCCCCGCCCCTCGCTCCCTCAGGCCGCCATGGCGGTTCGGCTGCTCCTGGCCCGGGCCCTGCGGCTGCTGCCGCGGTGCCGCCCGCCCTGCGCCCCCCGTGTCCACCCCCGCGCCGACCTCCGCACCGACCCCCGCGCCGACCCCTGCACCGGCCTCCGCGCCGCCCCGCCGGCCTCGCCATGGCGGCCGTGGCTGTCCTGGCTACCGGCCGCCGGCCGCCTTCTCCTGCGCGGCCCTGCGGGCGGACTGGCGGCCGTGGCGCGGCGGGGGCCCGGCGGGGCCTGCCTGGCGCTGGCCATGGCGCTGGGGCTGGTGGAGCCGCGCCTAGAGGAGCAGCGACGGGCCGAGGCGGCGTGCCGGCATATCCAGGTGGGGAGGGGGCGGCGGCGGCGCCCGCAGGCCCGGGGATCCCGCTGGGGAGCGCCTGGGGCGCCCTCCGTGAAGGGAGGGGGGCACTGCTGGGGGAGCCCCTCAGACACCCCTCATGAAGGGAATGGAGGGACCTTGTTTTAGGGAGACCCTCAGAAACGCCTCGTGAAGGGCACAGAGGGTTCCTACTTTGAGGAGTCCCCCCAGGCACCCCCCATGAAGGGGAAGGGGGTCCTTACTTTGGGGAGCACCTTAGACACCCCTCATAAAGGCGAGGGGGGGATCCCGCTTTGGGGAACCCCGCAGACACCCTCCATAAAGGGGAGGGGAGGGTCGCTGCAGTGGGGAGCACCCCACAAACACAGCTCCCCATCTTCCCCCGGGGAGGTTGGAGGGTGCAGCTGTGAGCAGCCCTCAGGCACATCCCCAAAGGTGGGAACTGCCGGGAGAAGCCCCACACGCACCTCTTCCTTCCCCAGATTAGGGTCCTGGAGAAGCCTCTTGCTCAGCAGCCCCTCGACACCCTAAAGCAGGTACTGGTGGGTCATCACGGTGGGGAGCCCCTCACTCCCTCTGCCCCCACAAAGGGAGTGGGTCAGGGCCCTGCTGGTGGGGGTCTCGTGTCCCAGGACACTGGTGTTGATGTTCAGGTTTGTCACCTCTCCCTGAGACAGACGGGGACCCCACAGTGCTGGGCCAGGCTGTGCTGGCAGGGCTCTGGTGACGGATGGTGCCGAACATATTTCCTGGGTAAAAATAGACCTTTGGTGCCCAGAGCCACCTGTCACTTGCTCCACTGGCTGGCAGACACACTCCTGTGGAGGTTCTGCCTTTCCCTGAAGTTTCTCAGGATGCTTTCTCTCCCCTGCTCTTACCAGGTAGTTCCATTTGCTGTCCCTGAATCTGTGTCTGTTTGTCCCATGACACATCCCTGAGGTGGCCACCACCACGTTGGGGCTGTAGGGAAGTGCACTGGTTTGTATCAGTGCAGGTGACAATTGGGGCGCCACCAGAACTGTGCTTAAACTCCAGAACAGCCTCCTGTGTGTTGTCTTCTCACATCTCTTGATTTCCTCCCCCAACTCCCTCCCGTCACGGATTCACTGTTCCTTGACCTAACCAATCCTTGTACTTGGCTGCCAGAAAAGCTCAGGGCATTGTTTTTCCTGTTGTTGCTCTTATTTGCGTTTTCTTTTAAATGCTGTTTGCCTGATGTATTTATGGAGAGTAAGGAAAATGTAATAGTGCATCTCTTTTTAGAAGTATTCAGTTAGACTTGTCTTTACACAATCACAGAATCATGGAATGGTTTTGGATGAAGGGACCTTAAAGCTCTTCTCATTCTACCCCCTGCTGTGGGCAGGGACACTTTCCACTATCCCAGGTTGCTCCAAGCCCCATCCCACCTGGCCTTGAACACTTCCAGGGATGGGGCAGCCACAGCTTCTCTGGGCAAAATATATTTATACTCTAGATTGGCAAATGAATCTCCCTCCCCATTCCTTTTTGTCCCTCAGAAGGGGCACCTTTGGAAAAGACTATTTTAGGAGTAGATTGTTCCAGACAAAAATACACGGTCTGCAAATTATTTTCCTCCTGGATACAGTGATTTGAGCCCAGTGCCTAGAGCCTGATTGTGCCTTTCAGGTTGACCAACCCAACAGGATGTGTAATACCACCTAAATACCAAGTTCTCACTCGCTGGGAAGTCTGGAATAACTGAGCGTGTTTTTCTGTTCTTATTCCTTTCAGACAGTGTTTGTTGGGAAGAACAAGCCTCAGAAAGATCCCCTGAGCTCCTTCCGCTGGCAGGGCTTCAAGCTGGAGGAATATCTCATCGGCCAACCCATCGGGAAGGGCTGCAGTGCCGCCGTGTACGAAGCAGCTATTCCTTTCTCTCCCAATCCTCGGGAATGTGCGGAGAGCAGCCATCTCCCAGCCATGCAGCAGGATCACGGCTCGGCTTCCCAGGCAGCTGAAGAGGAGCCTGTAGTGAAACACCAACCGAAAGGGGCTTTTCCCTTAGCTATCAAAATGATGTGGAATATTTCGGTAAGGAGTCAGCTCTGAGTTCCTGTGTCTGTCGCTGGGGAATTCTGGCTGGAATGTTTAATACTGGAGTGTTGAAAGTGCTAATTATGGAGTGCAGGATGAGCGTGTCACAACAAAGCTGTTGATAGGTGACACTGGAGATGTGGAGTGTTAGGAAGGAGTCCCATAGCGAGGTAATTAGCGTTCATCATCCTCTGGAACCGGCACTGAGAGCTCCTGCTGCTGGAGTTGTTGGGTATGGAGGGAATGTTTTGGGAAGAAAAGGTTTTCTGAAACTGGCTCTGATGGAAAGGTCTAAGAATGGGAAAACCTGTGATTTAGGAATTGGTGTTCTGTCAGTGTCAGCACAGAGATGGGGTTTCTTCCTGAAGAGTCACAGGGTAGGCAGTAACCTTCCTGCTGGGTCCCCTTGCCATCAGGTGACTGGCCAAGATCTGCTCCAGAGTTTCTCACCTCATATGACTGGTGATCCAACCCCTCAGTGTGGCTATTCCACATGAAAAAAAATCCACAGGGCTTTCCCTGTTGAAGAGGTTTAGTGGCACTTGATGTGACAAGTGGATATTCCAAGAGAATCTTCCAAAATGCCAAAATCTGGAATCCACTGGGCTCCAGAAGTACCCTGGTGCTTAGCTGTGGGCTTTTCCACTTGGGTTTGGGAGTTGAAAGTGAGTGTGAAGGTGTAGCTTGGAGCACTGACAGTCAAGGGTGCATTTGAAGTGACAAACAGATTTTTTCTTGCTGCATCCCTTGGTGAAATCTTTAAGTACTTAATTGCCTTCCCTGATTTTCAAGAGAGGGCAGCCCCTGGAATTTTGTCTCAGTGGATCCAGCTCCAGACACAGTGCCAGCATAAGGATTGTCTGCTTTTAGCCTGCAGTGGATGATTTTGGAGCTTAAACCAACGTGGGGTGTGGTTGTTGTTGCAGGCTGGTTCCTC